CAAGTGGGAGTGCGGAGGCTCGTGTGGGCTCTTTGGGAGCTTCCTGGCTGCCCTTGCCAGGTGCTGTGACTTGTGCGGCTGCCGTGGGGACCGCGTGTGTCCCCCGAGCGCCCTGCTGAGACGTGGCTGACGCTTGGGAGCGGCAGGCGACAGCCTTCCCTGCACCCCCTGCTTCCTGGCCTGTCCCTGGGGTTCCCCAGCACCCCCCTGCTTCCCAACACATCCCTCAGACTCCCCAGCACCCCCCTGCTTCCCAACACATCCCTCAGACTCCCCGGCACCCCCCTGCTTCCTGACACATCCTTCGGGCTCCCCAGCTACCCAACATGTCCCTGGGGCTCCCGAGCACCCCCAGCTTCCCAACACATCCCTCAGGCTCCCCAGCACTCCCCTGCTTCCCAGCTCGTCCCTCAGGCTCCCCACCACCCCCTGCTTCCCAACATGTCCCTGGGGCTCCTGAGCACCCCCTGCTTCCCGACATGTCCCTCAGCCTCCCCAGCACTCCCCTGCTTCCCAACACATCCCTGGGGAGCAAACCCCTCCGTTGGGGCCACACGTGGATGTCCTGCCTGGCCGCGGCGCCACTGGCCCCCCCACTTCCTCTGGAGCGGGTTTGAGAACCAGCCCCGTCCCTCTTTGTGGCTTAATGGGGAGGGAAGAGTTGGGCCTGGCTAAAAGGGAAGGCGAAAAGAAAGGAAGGGCCCTGGGTCACCGAGCACACGGCTCTCGCGGGGCCGGCGCAAAGGAAATTGCTCCGGACTGACCCAATTTAGCAGTCCTTATTTTTCTCTAAATTCCTGATAAGCTGTGTTTGGTATTTACTTCAGGTAAGCAAACAGGGTGAATTAACTCTGTGAGACACTGCAAAAATAAAGAAAATTGCTTTTAGCTTACAAAACCGATATATAAAAGATAAGCAAGTGCCTTGGATTAGAAGAAAATAAAATCGGCAGGGATAAACAGGATTAATGGTACATCCATTTAACAGTTTTTATGACATTTAAATAAGCAGCTGTAAATGTTTCCCTGGATCGGTGTTACAGCACTGAACATCTGTATATAAAAAGCGAACAACACGCAGGCTCTTGAACTCCCTGGCAATATAACCTTTGTGGGAAAAGCTCCCTGTGAAACTATGCGAAGGCACCGCATTGTCTTCCTTTAAAAGTCCTCTTTAATGACCTCTGTCACGAATGTAAGCTTGGACTTAAGTTTTTGAGGACAGGGAAAACAGATAATTGGATAAAATATTTCCTCTATCCTTTACTGAATAACTAGGGGGAGAAAAACCCAACACTTAATTGGCGAATCTGCCCAGTTTTTTTGTTTATCATTTTGAATATTCTTCAGTACAAAAGCGAAATAATATTATTGAGATATATTTTAATGCTGCAGAGAATATCAGTAGTCTGTAATGATATTATGAAGCAAACAAAGAATAAAGACAGAGACAGTGAACAGCCCTACAAATACTGAAATGTGTTGTAGCTCAAACTGAAGTCTCCTTGACAAACACAGTCTTTCTAAGTTGAGATTATATACATGTAAAATGTATAATATATATAATTTGGATGGTTCGAAATATCGGCTTTAGTCTTGTGTAACTCCTGGTTCCTCATCATGTATTTCCTTGCTGATAGGAGGGATGTCCTGAAGGTTTCAATTTCTGCCTTCCTCAGTATTATTTTAGTTGAGCTGATGTCTCAGTAAGGGCCAGGTTTGTTGTTGGAGATTTGCATCAGATGTACAAGAGAAAAAAAAATGTGGCATATCCCCTCTTTTCTACACTACACTTCCAGGAAACAAATTCTTCCCCTCTTTTGGGGGTCAATGAAGTTAAAAAGATGAAAATACAAAACAATAATCTCACTAGGTCTGTTAGCAAGCAAGAAAAGAAAATGCTATTTTTAAAAGAGTCTTAGAAACTGAAAAACCTTTAGTAAACAGACTTTTAGTAAAAATATATAGTTAACAATAAACCTAGAAAATGCCTTTCTGACAATCTGAGACACAGAAAGTCTGTACAATATCTCTGGTCTTAAGAGTAAGATTTTGTGGTTTGTAATCACAACAGTCAGAGGTGAACATTTCTCTGAATGTGGGCATGTTTATATTTATATATTTATGTTTCTGTATAGATATCTATACAACTGACATTAGTTATTTATGCATGTAAATATGTGCATATAAAAATGCTCAGTGTGCACGCTGCAACAGCAAGAAGCAAGAAGAATCATCTTCCATAAATACAAGAAATAATAAAATTGGCCTTTGTAATGTTTTTTAAGTCTCAAACGTTCTTCAGGCTTTGCTATAATAAACTGCTTTTTCCTGCATCTCACTCGGACATTGGGAAGTCTCCAATGAAGTATCAAGTCCCAATGGGACTCCAGCGACACGAGATTGAGAGTGGCTCCTGCAGTAGCTGCTGGTGACAACTGCTCTCCAAGTGCCACAGGAAGATCTTGCACATCTACTTCAGACACCTGAACTTAAACGGAGATGTTTTTAGGGTATTTTGTACAGCTTTCGTATAGCTGACAGTTAATAACCACCACTACCAACGTTAGAGCCGAGTTCAAATTATTTCTTTCACGACATGCTGCCACAATTACTTCTGGAAAGAGAATGCTATACTGTTGCTGGACGTTCTTGAAGCTCTGCGAATGCTTTACAGCACTCTTCAAAAATAAGGAGAAAAAAAAGAAAATAAAAATCTGATACAATCTGGTCCAAAACACTGTCTTTCACTCCTACAAATACAGTTATGCTTTTTTATGTCGAGGATTTTTTTCAAGGATTTCAAGGCTTTTCTCAGATTTCTGACCACAAAAAGGACACTTAAATGCTAGATACATTTATTGCTTTAGGAAAATATTCTTACATTAGTTTGAAAAATAAATAACCACCACTTGAGTTTTATGTGATTTCAGATACACTGGTCTTAAAATACTCACTTTTAAAAATTTCTACTCCTTGAAAAAAATGCTCCGTATCACGAGAAGACAAACAGAAGACAGGTTGTAAGGCAGAAAGGAGTGAAATTGTGGAGGGGTGAAGATAGGAGAGCATGAGGCAACAAATCTGCCCTCAGGTGGCTGCAGTATGCTGATCAGTCTGCTCCTCAACTAGACAGGCTTATGTCTCGATTCAAAAAGGCGCTTTTACTATATATATAAATCAGATAAAATTTTATAAATATATATTTAAATTATATATATATGAAAATTATGTATATATATATATATGAAACACTAACATTCAACTCAGATCAGGGAGGCTTTGAATGCAGTGGAGATGAAGGACTTGGGGAAGGCTGCGCATGTTTGAAGGCGAAGAAGGAAGAAGGTTGGAAAACACCTATGGGAGGAAGGGACTAAAGGGGCACTTGGGCTGGTTACTTGGCCATGGCGAGCACGGCTGGAGCCGGCTGCAGAGGCTGGATTAACACAGGACCAAGATGAAGCAGGCACAGGACGCAGGCTGGATAGACCTGGTGTCTGCAGCCACCCGTGAGGCAAAGCAGGAGGTGGAAAGCCAGCACGGAGCGAGGCTGGGAGCATGGTGGGCCAGGAGATGGATGGGAATGGATGGATGGCAGCGCATGGCGGTGGGGCAGCCCCCAAAGGGAGGGCTGGCAAGACGTGAGGCAACAGGAGCCATGGGAGGAGCCTGGAAGGACTGGGGGGAAGGGGAAGCAGGACAGGGCAGGGCCCAGGACACACGGACGCCAGATGAGCAACGTGAAGCACAAAAGGGAACCACGGTGGGGATTCACCTTGCCAAAAGAAAGGGAGGTCAAAATCAGCGGAGGTTTTTGGTGCGGGAAGCACCAGTGAAAAGCAGGGACCGGGGAACCTGTTGATGAGCATCAGAGGCAACTGAGGAACCTCTTCATGAGGCACCAGAGGCAACATGTTAACTCAGGGCAGGCAGCCCAATCACCAGGGAAGTAACAATAGCCTGGCCTAGGCCCTTGAGGTTGAGACGGGACCGGGGAGCATAAAGCGAGAAGGAGCCAGCTTGAGCTTGGCCCAGCCAAGCAGCTGATCACAATATGAAGAGTCTGAGCGCTCAAATAGCATCACTTGGTTCAGTATTTTCCTCAATCGGCCTCGTTCAGCAGCTCTGCAGTCAAAGACCAGGGAGGAAGCTGCGTAGACCGTGCAGAGCAAGAGGCGCTTCAGGATGCAGAATGGAAATGAAGTGGGGGGATCTTGGATGCTGAAGTTCTGAAATGCTGTCACTCTGCAAGTCCTTACCCCACTTTGCAGAGAAAGCAGAAAAATATCTATCCTTGCCATGGGTTCCCTGCAAACAAACTAGCATTTTAATTCCACACTGCTTTCCCAGCATTTCATGTCGCATAAAAATAAAGTAACTTCACCGGCATGTGATGCAGTGCCGGTGACTGAACTTCCCTTCGCCAGCCAGAACTGCATCTATTAAATGTGTGAAATGCTAAAGGTAGCAGTGTTCAACAACAGAAAATGAGGCGCGAGGAATTTAGACCGTCCTCAGGAACGAGTTTGCCAAAATTTTGGGCGGATGCTAGGGGAAAAGGACAATTAATACAGGGACAGATGGCTAAACAGAAACAAAAGCCATTATCTAAAACCTGGCTAAGGAAAGCTAAGCAACTGCCTGTTGAGCAGACACAATTCGAGGACTGCTTTAAACACAGTAACGTCGACAGTTTGGCCATTCGAACGTACAAGAAAACAGAGAACTTTCCGTCACTCGTGCCAGCGTTAACAACCTGCTGGGCTCACGCTGGAACCCGAGGAGGTATTTTATACGCAACGGGCACTAACTCTCCCTCTTGCAAGGTGGATTAAAAAATAAAAAAAATAGGGGCAAAAGCTTGGGCCATGCTAAAAGCTTGGGTAACGTGTTGAGGCGTGGAAGCTTCGGGCGGCTCCGTGCAGCACAACACGATGTTAAAGCTGCCTGCCAGGACCGGCTTCGAGGAGCGCTCGGAAGCAATGAGCTTTACTCACGCGAGCAAGCAGTATTTCAGGCTTTTTCTGTGCTTTCCCAGCACTTCTTTAATTATTCCAGTCACCGACACACGGTATTTCAGGTCGTTACCAACGCGTCCTATCGCGGCGGCAGTACCGTCCGTTTGCAAAAAAAGATTGCTTTAAAACAAGAAGCAGCTTAATTTTTTGTTATTAGGAACAGGAAAAGTTAATAATTACAGGAACACTGGCAGTGTTGCTATAGCTACGACTGCAGCAGCCTTTCAGCTACAGCTCCCMGTTTCAAGGGTCAATAACTCAGTTGTCAAAATCCCCACCAGGCAGAAGCCTGACACACAACCTCGACGTGCATTAAACCCAGGCCTAAGGGAAATCGGCTCCCACATTCCCTCAAACACCCCAACTTACACCAGCAGCTCCAGAGGATACTCAGAGCACCTAAACTCAACACRGGGCTTTATTTAATTATTTTTTGTCTTTCAATATAACATCCATCAGGGTGATCCCCTTTGGGCCAGGGACACGGGGAGAAGAGCCCCGGGTTGTCTCCCCTGGCCGTTCCCTCCCTTTCCCGTTAGAAAGGCAAAAATGCTGGACGTGCCCGCTGCCCTCCCCACCAAACTTCCCGAGGATTTCTCGGCACAAAAGCCTCATGCGCATGTGCAGCAGCTGGATTACCACAATAGCCCATAACGGCCCTAAGAGCCGTTACGGTATATCAAGTGAGTAAACCCCAAACTAAGGAGGATTTACACAATGACCATAGTGGCTCCCTGGGAGCCGTTACGGTCTATCAGGTCAAAAATCCACTTTTTAAAGAGCGCCTAAATATGTGTGTGCCCAACAGGGCCTGGAGTCTCCGGAGCGACTATCCCGCACGTYTTCGAAATGAGCGGGGAGAGAGAAAGGAGATTACACCCGACAACGCCGAGAGAGAAAATTTTACAATGAATAAAAGGCATATCGTGCAAATGCTCAAGACACGCATTTAAAGGGAAAGGAAAATGCGTGGTTAGTGGAGAAATTGGACACAATGTGATTTCTTCATTGTCGAAACAGGCCCTTTTGGTTATTATCATTTTTTAAATGACAATTAAACAAAAAAAGGAGATTTCCCACCAAAACCAATTACCTTTTAAAGAAAAGTTAGGTTACACACGGTACAAAAATAATAAACTCGCAGCTGGGTTCTGAGTTGCTCTGCTGCATTTCAAGTCTCTAGCAACAGCGTAARTTAGTAATCCAGCTCAACTTTGCATTTCTTTACTCCTCTCCCATTGTGCCACCGAACGAACAAGTTATTCAAGACAATGATTTTCTACATAAAAGCCAGCTCTATTTTCCAACAGCAAATCTGCAATAAATCATTAGCCTACTTACTTTTTTTATTATTATTCTTCCCCTTCCTTTACAGGCAATATTTGTGGCCGCAGCAAACCTGTAACAGAGCACTTTCTCTCTATGACCTGAGATAACGGTAATGTTGAAAGAATGGCCTCACTTGTCAAAGATTAGAGGGCTGTCTGCAGCCTACACTCCTCTTTACTAGAGCCAAATAGGCCCAATAAATGCTAATACTCAGCATGACACATCCAGAACGCTAAGCCTCAACACTGCCTAAGAAGAAAGTATCACAAATTTACCGAAATTATCTATAGCACAATAGAGAAGAGAAGGAATTAATCAAAGTCTCTCTCTTAATGCAATGCTTGATTGAACTATCCCAATCCCTTTTTAAATAGGATAACCTAGTGGCAAGTGACCCCGATGACACGTCCTAGAGAGGTACACAAGTACCACTTGTTCGATTTTTTTTCTTTTATGACCTCATTAAGGAGGATTTTGAAGATTGCTCCTGAATATGGGAACAAAGTGTCTCAAGATATCCCTGTTTTTTTGTGTCCTTAGCCTTTTGCCGTTGAAGCGGCTCTCGAATGAGTGTTTATCAACCACGCGCGCGCACCAGCAAAAAGGAAAAGAAGGAGAAGACTCTTTAAAATCGAATCTACCGCAGCCACCTTTTCTTAGCTCACTGAAAAAACCCTGAAAGTTTTCCCCAGACCAACCCATGGCCACAGCTACCCCTCCCATTCATTCCCTGCCGCTCTCTCCTTCCCGGCTAGAGACCCCATTAATGAGATTTGGCGGCAGTTTTCCCTTCCTTATTGGGGAAGAGGGTGCCTGCCAAATCTGCTAGTGTGAAAATACCCCCGCGCCAGTAGCGTTTTCTTCCTAAGTGTTTGTTGATTCCACGCTTGGATTTAATGTAGAGGATTACATTTTACAACCAGAAACAAACAAACAGATTTATAACTGAGGACAGCAAGGCAAACAAGCAGGGGGATAAAAAAAAAAAAAAAAAAGAAAGAAAGAAGCAGCAAGCCAAAGACTGAACCTAAACGTAGCGGTTTTATTGACTTCTTAGAAACCAAATAACCTGGCATATTAGTGTGTGCATTCTGCAACAGACATTCAGCCCCATTGTACTACTTAGAAGAGAATAAAAAGAAACCCTACTGTTTGAAATCCAGCGGAACATCCCCACAACAGAGCACAACTGTTCCCTCATGCATGAATGGGAAGGAGATGAAAGAAAAGATGGACTTCTGAGGTACAGCAAAAAACAAAGACAACAAAAGTGCTGATCATGAGGGAATGACACAACTCATTGCTGCAAAAAGGATGAGAGAAAGGCGCTCAGACAATGGTGCAGACAGCTAAGTGACATGTAGAAGAATTGAAAAATCTACAGAAGTGTCTTTTCTTTCCGCACTTGACGAGAAACAATTAAATGTTGGTACATCTGTCATAAAAAAGATAATTGAAACCTGTTACCGTCATTATAGGCGGCAACTTAACTACCAAAACTGTAACTGTCCAATTAAACGTTGCCCTCGCTGTTATCTACACCGCTTGCGAAACCGAGGGGGGAAAAAAAAATAAAGAAAACAAACACGGAAAACTTTAATTCCTGATGTGATTTGCCAGCGGAGTACCTGCTGCCGCCGGAGCGCGGGCCGCGCACGGGCACGCGGGAGGCCGCGGGGCCTCCATCCGCGCGCACCGACCCTGCAAACACAGGAGGTTCGGGACAAGGAACCCCCCAAAACACCCCCCCAAAACCAGAGTCAGTGCCGGGAGCCTCGCTAAATGTTTCACTCTTCTGCACGTCCCCCGGCCTGCGACAACGGCACCGCGCTGAGCTGATCCGCCGACTGTTGCGACTTGCTTGGTAAGAGGCAACGTCCCAGGAAAGCGCGAGGCAGTTATTGACCCTGTCGGGATACCTGATTAATGGATAAACGCTGTAATTGATTAGCAGAGCAGTGTGAATTAAAACAGAATACGGCATCAATAACGAGCCCTCGACAAAAGGTAGCTGACATAAAATGTAAAGCAATCGCCTGCGGCAATATCTCATCAAAGACACGCATTGCTTAAAAACAGAAGAAAACACCCCTCCATCCCCCCTTAAAAAAAAGAAAAGAAGAAAAAAAACAAGCGCAGTGTCCTGTTCTCTGCATTCTTTAGTCTTTTCTCTTGGTAATGATTAAACCACCAGCAAAATGTTATGGGAACTACTCATGAATCCACCTTCATACATCAAGCGAGGCAAGGCAGTTAAATGACTCCTTTATGCCCCGGCTGCTCTACCCTTAAAGAAATGGGCTGCTCTCCATTTGAGTGCAGCGAGTGGTGCTTTCAGCGCAGCGCCCATGCCGGGGCTGCTCTTCCTAGTGTCCCGGGGCACGGAGCACTGGGAATGAGGCATCCAATGCCGGGAATTGGCACCCTGTGCACAGCCGACGCACCTAAGGAAGCACCACCAGGCCTGGCTTAGCAGGGTGCATCAGCTCGGAGAAAGCACCTACAGAAACTGCATTGCAAATTCATTTGCCTTGTCCTTTCCATTTGTGGGAYGCAAATAATGAAGAGCATGAAGGGGACCTAAAGCTCCCTTGTAATAATCCTCTCCAAATGTCCTTAATTGATTTGGTAAATTTGATGCCAGCGTCACATTCCTATGCAAAACATGCTGGGTTTTGATTACGGCCTTCTACGTGCGCCCACAAACGTATTTAGGCAGGGATACAGGGATACAATCCCCATCTTTTGCCATCAGCCTCACTTTTTTCATCAAGCAACCATGAGACTTAACTCTTATCGTGGAATTATTTTCCAGCTCCCCGAGATGCTTCATGAACACTCATGGGTACCACAACCTTTTCAGTGGTACTGCTGCTCTGTCAGTGTAAATCGGGTCTGTCTTGATCAGGAGTGTGATTCACCCRCCTAACTTGGGTAACCTAAAACATTACCTGTGCAAGTCAGCTCTGCTGTTGACCAAGAGAATCCAACACCTTCCAAGAACTATCTAGCAAGCAAGCTTGATACTTTTGGGTTGGATGAACTGCCCTCCAGATGTGCCTCTTTTTAATGACTATAGAAAGTACCCAGACAACTTGCATCTTACAAGCTACAGCTGCATCCCAGGAATTCTGAGACATCTGTGTTGACTGCAAGGAAGAAGGCTTTCAACCCTTCTCACCAGTAGTCTTGAAGCATCCACATTAGAAGTTCATCTCTTCTTCCCTTCCAAAAGCAACAAACACCACTCTCAATTTCTCTGCAAGGTCAAACGCAGTTTAAGACTTGGTTTTCAGCTGAGGCTCATAGAAACGTGCTCTTCTCTAAATACCTGCTTGGCCTCCCCACCAGGGCATTCCTCCAGCCTGGGCAGCTCCCTTCGAGCTGCTGGGCATGGAGAAGCAGAGCGAGCTCCTCAGGGCCCCAGCCGCACGCACAACATGGCAAGCCCGCAACAAAGACATATTTTTTTTCCTGAGAGGAGGATGGAGCAAAAGCAGGGACAGTTCAGCAGCTACGTGCATGAGGCCCAGCAGAGCAGTGTCCTGGATTTCCCTTTGCAGAGCAAATCCAGGCTGTTTAGGAAGGGCTGAAGTGCAAACACGCTTTGGTCACACGGATCCTCTTCACACTCCTTTTCTGCCCAGCTCCAATGGGAGGAAGAGGAGGGTTCCCCACTGCCAAAGCAGCTAATGGATGGACAAGCAGGGCATTTTCTGGATATTTGAACCCCCTGAGGTCACCATCAAACCCCTCCTCTCATTCCTGGGTTAGCACCAGCATATCAGAAAGCGAATGGGCACCAAAACTCAGCTTTTTTTTCAGAAATAAATGATGAGACCTGCRGGCAGCCTGGTGGGTTTTGGCAGTAACCGTCCTACCTGCCTCTCATCAGAGAGCCTGCTGGGACCCACGTGCGGCCCACAGGCTGCCCCACGTGGCCCACAGGCCAGCCCCAGGGGAGCATTCCTGCCGTCTCGCTCTAGCTGATTATCCCACCAGAACAGTTGTCCAAAAATGAAGCCGCTTCCAAAAATGAAGGTATTTTTAACAATGCTCTCTAAAACGCGACACCTAATTTAACCTGAAAGCWTGAAATGTACTTGCAGCAGCCCAAAAAAGCGGCCTATCCCCAAAAATATTAAAAAGAGACAAAGTTCCATTGATTTCAGTGGAAGCTGGACCAGGCCCTTTAACATACTCCCTTTTTTTCTGGAGGGAACAGGAAAGCAGAAGCACTAGTAGCTGGACTTTCAGCTTGATCCCTGGAACTTTTAAAGCTGTTCTTATCCAGAGCTATTGTCCGGGCTGGAGACAAAACAAGTATCGGCCTTTTCAGCTCCCGAACTTAGCCCGAAAGCTATTTGTAGCTCCTGCAGAGCTGCGCTTTTATAGG